CTTTCCTGGACCCCAGCATCTCCCCAGAGTTCCTGGTGGCCTCTGAGCAGTTCTTCTCCACCATGGTGCCTCCTGGGGTCTACATGAGGTGAGGGCAAAGCGTAAACATTTGTGTGTTGGGAGGAATGGGGATGTCATTTGAGAAAAATCTGCTCTCAGGAAAGGATTATCAGTCTGAAGTGCTAATTTCCCCAGAGAACAATGAATTTGGAGGGGGAAGAACAATTGTTTAAAAAGACATCATTGTGGTTTTGAAGCACTTTATGTCCATTTTCCTACAGCTGGTGTATATATTAACCCTCCAATTAAACACAGGCTAATTGAGGCTCAGAGGGTGAGTCACAAAGCCTGCTGGTCTGAATCTTAGGTCTTGACACTACACTGGGGGCATTTTTAACTATAAGCACAGGACCTGGATCTTGCAAGCCTTTCTAGGGAATTAAAATTAAAAAAGCATGAGAGCTAAAGAGAAATTTTGACTCCAAAATAAGGAAAAGGGAAATTTAAACTAAAAATATACATATTTAATTAAATGTATATGGAACAAAACATGTCAGTTTATTTTTATAATTGCATTATAATTTAAAACAATTTGTAGGTTAGGGGCACCTGGTTGTCTCAGTCCGTTAAACAGCTGCCCTGAGCTCAGGTCTTGATCCCAGAGTCCTGGGATTGAGCCCTACCTCCAGCTTTCTGCTCAGTGGGGAGTCTGCTTCTCCCTCTCCCTCTACCCCTTCCCCCTGCTCTTGTGCGTGCACAGGCACGCTCTTTCTCTGTCAAATAAATTAATAAAATCTTAAAAAAAAACAATTCATAGGTTAGATTTTCTTACTCTGGAACAATTTTTGGATATGCCTAATCATAGCCATGAAATCATAGCATTTGACTTATCCATAGACAAGTAATTTCAAAAGAACAATTAAAAATCCTTTTAAAACGTTTTAACATAGGGGCGCCTGGGTGGCTCAGTTGGTTAAGCAACTGCCTTCGGCTCAGGTCATGATCCTGGAATCCTGGGATTGAGTCCCGGGATCGAGTCCCGCGTCGGGCTTCCTGCTCAGCGGGGAGCCCGCTTCTCCCTCTAACCCTCCCTGCTTTCATGTACTTTCTCGCTCTCTCAAATAAATAAATAACTCTTTAAAAAAATGTTTTAACATATATATATGTGTGTATATATATATACACATATATATACACACATATATATATGTATATGTACACACTCACTCTTTGGGAATCAGGAGAGAAGAGGTCCTCTAAACAGAGCCCCATGCTGTTTAGTAATATATACATAGAGAGATGGAGAAAGAGATGGGGGAAGGGAAGCATGTGCATGCTTTAGGCACATTTTTAAATGCTTTTTTTTAAGACTTTATTTATTTTTTTGACAGAGAGACAGGGAGAGAGGGAACACAAGCAGAGGGAGTATGAGAGGGAGAGGCAGGCTCCCTACAGCAGGGAGCCCAATGCAGGACTTGATCCCAGGACCCTGGGATCATGACCTGAGCCGAAGGCAGACACTTAATGACTGAGCCACCCAGGCGCCCCATGTTTTTAAATGTTTACACTGACCTGGGCCCCTGGCTATGTACAGTCTTGGAGACCAGAGCTGATGCCTGACTTTAGGACCCCATGGCCTCAGTCATCATTCCCCTGCTCCTTGCATTTCAGAAATGCCAGTTGTCACTTCCAGGAGGTCATCAATAGGAACTCAAGTACCTCCAGAGCTCTCCGGGTCTGCAATAGCTACTGGAGCCGAAAGGTCAGGGCTGGGGGCACATATGTGGGTGGGTGTATGTGTGTAGTGTGTGTGTGTGTGTGTGTCTGAGGTGTATGATGAAGGGGGGCAGTAGGGCCTAGGCAGCCAGCTTTACATGCTGGAGAGTCAATCCTCCACCTCCACCTCAGGGCTGTGTGAGGGACAGCGAGGCCTATGAAGGTGTGGCTCTACATTCATTCCTTCCTTGTAGGTTTTTTTTCCTCCCTTGACAGTTCTAAGTCTCCCGTAGGCCTTGGAGTACCCCAGCCATCCCACCCCCCTCAAGGAAATGTCCCAATTAGACATACCTAAGGCAATGTGTGAATGTGTATGTTGAGGGGGGAACAAGGAGGAAGGAAGAGTTCTGAGATTATCAGGGATAATCTGTCCCATCCAAACCAGGCCAGTGTGGGTAAAGAGCATTGACGAATAATTTAAAGCAAAATCTGATACTTTGTGTAGAGCGTTCACAAGAGGAGAAGAGAGGTAGAAGGAAAAGGGAGAAGAGGGAAGAACAGAATCAGAGTCATAAAGCTGAATTGAAGAAGACCTCAGTATCCTCCTAATTGCTTTAATTTAATTTAACTTAATTTAATTTTATCCCTAATGCCCTTTTTATTAAGGAAAAGGCACGGAGTTCAGAAAGGTCCTGTGATTTGCCCATGGTCACACAGCTGCTCACTAACAGAGCAAGGACCAAGACCTAGATGTTCTAGTGTCTTTGTTGATCATACTGTCAAGTCTCCTAAAATAGAAGTAAAATTTTAGATCCCTTGTGTTTGTGGGGACCTGTCTCCCAGCAGCATGAGCTTTGGATGGGGACATCACTCACCCTGAGTGGGGAATCAACCTATGGAGGAGGAATGGCCTGCTGGTTTCAGAGCAAACATCAGCACTGGGTGGGCCCAGGACATGGATTTTGGTGTGGGGAGAGCCTGGCTGCTCAACCTCCAGCCCCATTTTCTCTCCCCATTCCCAAAGCATCCAAACCTACAAAGAGCTGAAGATGTGGACGCGCTACTGCTGGGCATGGCCTCCCAGATCGCTGAGCGAGAGGACCATGTCGTGGTTGAGGATGTACTAGGTGAGGCTGAGGCTGTCCCTGAAGGCTGTGCCCTGCTGGCCCCTGGGTGGGGATTCTGTTGGAGCTCCAGTGTCAGGCCAGGAGGAGTGTCTGTGCCTGGGAGCCTGTACTCTTTCACTGCTGAGAGATGTGTTGACCATGGTTCCCTCTGTGTCATTCTGGTCCCACCTGGGGCTGGTTGGAGCCTGGGTTCTGGGATAGTGGAGCTGTGGTGGCCCTGAGCTCCCTCAAACTCTCTGCTATTTCATCCCCAGATTTCTGGCCTGGGCCCCTGAAGTTCTCTCGTACAGACCACCTGGCTGGCTGCCTGCAAAGGGGCCGGGATCTGGGCTTGCCCTCTTATACCAAGGCCAGGGCAGCCCTGGGTCTTCCTCCCATTACCAGATGGCAGGACATCAACCCTGCACTCTCCCAGAGCAACCATACCGTAAGGAGGGGTTGGGACACGGAAGGCAGGGTGGGAGGGCCCAAGGCACGTTGGCCCAAGACATGGAAGGGAGGCAGTGAGACACAAACACTAGAGACAAGTCCCTGGGGAGAAGGATGGGACTCACCCAGGTGGCTTTTCCCAGTATCATACACCAGGATGGAAGTTACCAGACCAGCAGGATTTGGCAGTATATCTTGTGACTCTGCAGATCTAGCAAATGTTTGTTGAGCATCTCTGGCATGCTAGACACTTAATAGGCATTATCTCATTTGCTCTTCCCAACAACCATCTGAGCAGGTTAGAAGGTCCTCAACCCAGGAACAAGCTATACTTTTTTATACACTGATACTTAAGCTGCCTTTGGAGAGTCAACTGTCACACCGTGAGCTATTGCCTGGGAAAGTGGTATTGCCTGCCAGCCAACAGACTAGTTTTGGTGGCCTTAGCATCTTGGCATAGTAGCATTTCTACAATTGCATGCTTGTTTTATTGCTTTCGTCCTTACCATTTTATGAGATTGTTGGAAAGTGGAGAATTGAAAGGCTGATGAAGAAGCAATACACACATGGGGCTTGTAAACTTTATAAAATCAGTATAAAGATAGGAATCACCAGGCATACCGAAAGTAGCAAATCTTTAGCTTACCTGGGCCTCACTGGAATTAAGCTGGGCAAATGTTTGTTTACATTGCAGAGAAAAGAACAAAGTAAAGGTCAGGTAGAAAATGCTGCTCATATAATGTTGAAGTCTGTCTCCAAAAAGCAATGTATATGCAGGGATTTGATTTTTAAAAACTTTTTTAGCTCTAAGAATAGAAACCTTTTCTAATACATCATTCTACCTTTCCAACTTTTGTACTGGTTTTGACCCTCAAATTTCATACCATTTTGAGCACAAGCCACATAGGGAACTGGCTGCCCGTTTTGTTCCAACTTTCTAAAATAGGCAGCTGAATCTGTGAGCGAGTTCCCAAAAATGAGTTAACTTGTGTAAAGCATTTGGAGCGGTGCTTGGGGCATAATAAGTGAGTGATTGTCACTGTCATTTATCATTATCACCCCAGGGGCTGATCCCTGCGCACTACCTCTTCGCCCCAGGGTAGGTGCCAGGTCCTTGCACTCACTCATGTCCCTTCTTGGCCCAGCTGCTGGAGGCCACAGCTGCCCTGTACAACCAGGACCTGTCCCAGTTGGAGCTGCTCCCCGGGGGGCTCCTGGAGAGCCATGGGGACCCCGGGCCC